ACTTTGAAAATGGCAATGAAATACCCAGGGTATCTATTGAAAAATCGCAATGAAATGCGCCAGGTATCCATTGATATTTTGCAATGAAATATCCAGGGATACATTTGAAAAATTGCAATGAAATACCCAGGGATACATTTGAAAAATTGCAATGAAATGCCCAGGGTATCTATTGAAAAATTGCAATGAAATACAAAGGGTATCTATTGAAAAATCACAATGAAATATCCAGGGCTGCATTTGAAATTTTGCAGAAAATGCGCTGGGTATCTATGGAAAATTCACTATGAAATACCCAGGCCTACATTTGAAATGCCTTTCAAAAAATCCTAAGCATTATAGATATGGCCTCTAGGCTTAAGTCTAAGTTATAGAAATGACCCTCTAGGCTTGGGTCTAGGTTATAGAAATAAAGTGGTAGCCACTAGTGGGACATCGACATTTCAAGCTTCAAGTCAAGGTGGGTCTGTTATATCCATTCTCACTTGTCTGAATGCTTACCAACAACAGACTCAAGATTACGACGACAGTCACGACACCCAATGGTCCAGACAGTTCAACGTGCTGAGATGGTAAGCCCTCATCGACGGGAGCTCTTCATATCTGATTTATTAATCAGTTCCCAAGGAAGCGCTCCTCACTGCTCAAGATCAACCCAATTTTATCTGAGGGTTTCTCACCGCCTGCTTCAAATCCATTGCCCAGCACTACGTAGACGTGTGGTGCTACTTAGCATGGAACGGAAGAAGCTGGTCTGTGTGGTTATGTGGGTCGAGTGTGATGGATGAACTATGTATACTTATCAAGTTGGGGTTTCTATTAGGGCAACGGAGAACGACAAAATGGAAGGTCAAATTTAATGCAACCACCCCACCAGCTACAAAATCTTCTGGTTGGTATAACATCTGGACCCATACAAAACCTTCGCATGTAGGACTTGAATTGGATTGAAGAGTCGGAATCGCAATTGGTACGTTGTCCATCAGGAAAATCGCAAATGTGTGGCAGGTCGTGATTGCATGGCGGAGTGTGGCCGGCGTGATGGAGCTGGCGCCACACCACCATAATTTTGATCTCCAGATAAATTGTGCCATGTGTGTCACAATAATCCTTCATGCCATGGAGCTGTTGTCACATGTATGTGTATTGATCATGTGACATGTTGAACGTCAGAAAATTTTGGACTTCTGAACTTTTTCTTGGGCTTCATGCTGCTTCATGCTCAGTTCACACTCCTTCCTCTGGTAGTCTCCCTCCACTGTGGCAATGCGTCACCACCACCATCTCGAGTAACCATTGCTCAACCGCACCCAACCATTATTGCACCTCAGGCCTCAACGTCACGAACAACGACCTACCCCAATGACAACGACAACCACCTGGGACGTGCAGACGGTGATGATGCATGTTGTCATCACTGCACATGTTACTCAAGGTGGGCCATCTGAACTCCCTTTGCTTATCGTCTT